GTCTAGTTTCCTCTTCAAGTTGTTGCTGAAGTTCAGTAAATTGAGATTCACAAGTTGCTGAAGCTTTTAAAGCTGCAGAAGCTTTTAATTCTGCTGCTTCCAATTGTTGCATAATACTTTCAGATTCTTGTTGTAATTTTGTTACTCTTTCTACCAATTCTTGCCTATTTCTTTCCACTTCTGCAAGTTTTGCATTTATTTCAGCAAGTTGTTGTTCTGCTTGCTTTCTTCTTCTATCCGATTCTTGTCTGCTAGCACTAACAGATCTAAGTTCTGTAGCTAAATCAGCATTCTCTGCCTCTAATGTTGCTTTTGCTTTTTCTAAAACAGTTTTAGTTTTTTTCAATGCATCCATTTGTTCATTTAAAGCAGTTAATTCTTGTGTATGTTTATGACGCATATCTGCTAACGTTGCTTCGTGTATCGATGTTTCTTCTTCTAAATTCTTTTTTAATGTTGCTAATTCTTGTTCTCGTTTGCTTCTTAATTCTTGTTGCGCAGCAGTTGTATCTAAAGAATCTAATAATTCATTTTTCAACGCTTCCAATTCCTCATTTAAATCTCGTTTTAACTTTTCAGCTTTTCCTCTAGCAATTTTCTCAGCTTCTAAATCTTCTTGAAGTTCAGCTAATTGAGACTCTAATTCGCGAAGAGCTTTTTGCGCTTGAGCTTTAGCTGCACCTTCTTCATCCATTTTTGCCATTATTTGATTTAATTCTTCTTCACGTTTGCCAAGTTGCAATTGAAATTCTTCTACCTATAAAAAATTTATTAATATTAAAACAAAATTATTATTATTATTATTATTATTATTATTATTATTATTATTATTATTATTATTATTATTATTATTATTATCGTTCTCATTGCTCATACTATAAATTGTTTGAAAATATATTTGTTACTTCATATTAAATTAATTTAAAATTTTTTTTTTGAAAAAAAAAGAAAAAAAAATAATTTATAAAAATCATACCTGTGTCTTCCTTTCTGCAAGTTGTTCTTTCAAATCTGATACTTCAGTTTCTATTTTTCTCTTTGATCTATCCACTTCCTGTCTTTGTTGATGATCTTTCAACAATCTTTCTTCAAGATCTGCAATTGTTGCTTCATGTTTTGCTTTTAATTTTGATAAATGTTTTGCTTTTTCTTCTTCTTCAGCAAGTGTCTGAGATAAATCATTTGCTCTCTCTTCAAGAATTTTTTTCTCTTTCAATAATTTTTGATTTGTATCATCAGAAAGTGCAAGATCTTCCTCAAGTTTCTTAATTTTTGCATCACATTGTACTTTTTCTAATTGTAATTTTTGTCTAGCAGCTTCTTCTTCTTCTAATTGCTCTTCAAGATCACTTATATTTAATTGTAACTTCTTTTTTTCTTGAGCTAAACCAGCACTTCTTTCTTCTTCTTCTTCAATTCTTGTTTCTAAATCGTGAAGAATTTCTTCCAGTTCTTGTTTTCTGGCGGCTAATCTTGCTCGCATTTCCTCTGCTTCTGCACATAATTCAACTTCAGCCTGTAATTGTTCTGCTAACATAGTTTTTTCTTCCATAGCTTGTTGATATTTTCGTTCATATTCTTGTGCAGAATGTAATTGTAATTCTAACTTATCTCGTACTTGTTTTAATTCATCTTCTTTTTGAGTTAATTTTTCTTCTTGTTTTGTTACTTCCAAAAGTGGTTTTACTTTAGTATACAAACGCCACCATTGCCAATTTCTAAGTTTTAATAAGCAGCACAATTTCTCTGAATAATTCTAATAGCATTTAACTGTTGTAAACGTTTTTGATAATTTCTGCGAGCAAGGAAACCACGACAGAATGCTTGAAAATTGACAATTATATCAGTAATTTTATAATCACGTTCTTCTTCAAGATGAGCCAAAACTCCAGCACGAAAGAAAATTTTTGATTGACCAACGCGGTAAAGATTAGGGTCAAGTTCAAGAGCTTGAATCTGAAATAAAAATTTTTTAAAATTTTCGAATATATGTTTTATGGAATAAAAACAATTAAATAATATATAAATTACATTATAAACTTATATATAATTTATAATTGATTGAGATATAAATTTCAAATCAATATAATCAATGTTGTGTTATATTTTTATTAAGAGAATGATCATTTTTAACATCGAATTTTAATATGTAAATAAGATTACATTTTCTTACCATTTTCTCGCAAGCTTTCTTTCCATCCATAAACCCTTTAGGAATTGCATTCGGTGTTAAAAGTTCGTATCTCTGTCTGAATTCTTGAAATGGTATTCTATTTGGAAATCCTTGTCGACAAATTCGAATCCCTTCTAAAACTCCATTACATCTCAGTTGATCTAATACCAATGGTGCATCAATCTTTCCAGCTTTTTTTTCATGATTGGGTATAATGCATCTCACAAAATTGGGATTAGTATTTCTTAGAGTAATCATTAATTTTGCCAATTGTTCTTTATATAATTGAGAAACTGTTCTAAACATGCCTTTTCTTGTTCTTGCACCAAATTGTGTATCTGTCAATGCTTGTTGAGCCATTCCGACAATTTCCGCATCTTTCCAAATATGACAAACGAACGGGTCTTGTGAATTTTGTAACAGGCTAACAACATTTTCATTCAAAGGATCCATATTCTTCATCAACCATTTAGCTGCTGAATAATCAACCTTTCCAGCATAATGTATAATAGCAAAATCTGCAACACCCCTGAAATCTGTTTTCATGAATTTTGGATGCACACTATGAGCACCTACTAATTTTTCAACAAATGTTTTATCTGTCGCTTTAGGAAACCAACATTCTTCATCCAACAATGCCATGATACCTATTGTGAAATAAAATTTTCTTATTTAATAATTGAATTTATTGTAATAAAAGGTAAAAAATATTATATTAATAGAAAAAAAGTTTAAATTTATTAAATATAAATTTTTAAACGTACCCATTGGTTTATCAATCAAGTCGATAGTTGGTTGCAAATCTAATCCAAAATCAATGAACTTCCATTCAATTCCTTCTCTTTGATATTCTTCTTGTTCCAAAATGAACATGGTATGATTGAATAATTGTTGTAATTTTTCATTAGTGTAATTAATACACAATTGTTCAAAACTGTTTAATTCAAATATTTCAAAACCGGCCATATCTAAGATACCGATAAAACTTGCTCCTTGTCTTTTCGTTCGATCCAACGATCGGTTGATCCTGTTCACAAGCCATCTGAACATTCTTTCATAGCAAGCTTTTGAAATTGCTTCTACTGCAAATTCAACTTGCTCTTTTGTTTGTGCTTTCGTTACGAAATCTCTACCGACTTTAATTCTTGGTTTTAAAAATGCTTTCGTCATTTCCGTCACGCTCAAACCTAACAAATGAGAAATTTTTTGAGCAACAGTATTATCCGGTAACGTAGCTTGGTCCGAGTTTCTTTCTTGACGGAATTGCATGGAACCGAAAAGCATCACCGCAGATACAATACGAAAAATCGAAGAAAAGTCTTCATTTGTCATGCCCATGATATGCATAGATTTTACGGTTGAGAAGAATTCAGCTGAATCGTCCACTCCTGGAACTGGTAATGCGCCATTGGACAAGAATGGATAGTGTTTCGGATCTTCCAAGATAAACTCCTCTGAAATTTCATAAATATCATTTTATATTTTTTTTCTTCTTCTTTTTAAAGAATTAAAAAAATAATTTTAAGATATAAAAAAAAAGGACAATTATTATTATGATTAATTTAATATAATAATGAAATATAAAATATTTTTATATTTAGAAATATTTGTTTTTATTTTGATTTCTTGTCTTTAAAACCACAAAACAAAATATTAAAAGAAATTTGTTCAATGGTGTGTAATTAAATTATCATTATCAATTATTTATATTAAAAATTATTAATTATATAAATATTAAAAATTTTGCGAATTGAAAAATTGACGCATTCGTAACAATGATTCATTCTTATTAAACAATGTTCAAAAATGATAGGTCACACATTCCGCATTTAACAATTGTATTTCAAGTCAGGTAGTATAGCTGAGTCATCTATGAAGAAGGTTGTTTTAAGTAGTTCGTATCCTGAAAGGATAGGCTTAATCGTTTGAATCATTTAAGAATAGTAATTCGAATACAGATCAAAATAAAATATCCCTAACAAACACAACGCATAATGGGTGGAAACGTTCAGTGTCTCGAAGCGGGAATATCGATTCACTTCGTTCCGAATAGTAATAAACAGTACGTCCCATCTGGGCTTGGTCTAAGCGTGTAGAGAACATTTATATAACGCAAGTGATGAACTGATAATACATACGTATTAATCATTTTGTTGAAACGAGTCTTATATTTTTTTTCAACCAATACAACAATTTTAAAACGTTTATCAGAATTTATTTTCAAAATTATTCGAAAGAATCAAGTTTATTCAAATATCACGCACGCTTACCAACGTATTAAAATAAAAGAATCTACTTACTCTTTTGTTCAGGTGAGGCACCAGCTAAAAGTTGATAAAATATATGGAAAGTTCTTTCATCTTTTGCTTGTCGAATTGCTCTTGACTTTTCCAGAAGATACGTTTCTATGTTTGCACCAGCAATGTAACCGGAAGCATCGAAGTTTATTCGTATAAATTTACCCTGTTTCGAATAAATACTCGATTATCATTAAAACTATTATTGCTTATTTTCATAACAACAAATTTTCAATTTTTTAAAGATTTTTTTACAATATAAAAATACAAATTTGTTGCATTGCTCGTTTAATGCAATTTTCACGAATTAAATATTTCGAAGAGCTCGAAGAAAATTATGAAAACGTAAAAAATTTTAAAATAACTTGAAGATTGAAGATAATCTTTGAGAAAAATAATATAACATTTAAAAAGAATAAATTTTATAAAACTTACAAATCGGGATGAGTTGTCGTTTTTCACTGTTTTTGCATTCCCAAAAGCTTCTAGAATCGGATTTGCTTGTAAAAGTTGTTGCTCCAATTCACCCTATCACCATAAAAATTAATTATATTAATTAAAATAAAATACTTTTATTCGTTTCACAAATATATGAAATATAATTATTTTTTTTAAATAAAAATATATTTCAATTTCAAAGACATGAATTAATTCTCATTTAATTAAGTCTCGCTTGTAAAATTATTATTAATTGATATTTATAAAAATAAAAATATATCTTTTATACAATTTTACAATACGAATATTGAAAAATTATAAATGACATATACATTCATAAATTTACTATGCACAGATAATAAATATTATTTCTAAATTTTTAATTGATATATAATTAAAAAAAAAATTTACAACGCATATGCAATAAAATAATCTTTTTTGAAATAAATAAAGCTGCGATGAATAGAAAAGAAAAATAAGCAACATATAATATACATAAAATTTAATACGAATTATACTGTAAATAGTTGTTTTTAGAAAACAACATTCTGATATTATATCGTTCATAATTATATTAATTTACAATTTCTTTCATTCAATCGAGATAAAAGAAATTGTCACGGTTATTACGAATTAATTAACGTAAAAATAAGCAATTTATAAGCTCAATGTTAATTCTAAAGAACACTATATTTATTATATTACTAACTTTCTATCTTAAATTCTGTAACTTTCTAAATTTAAAAAAATAAGTCCTTAAAATGAATGAATTAATCATAATTTCTTTTTTTTTGTTTTTAAATAAATTGCCAGATATATAAAATATATCGTTACAAGGGGAAGAAAAAAATTATTCTACTTAAAATTTTATGCGATTAAGCACAAAGTAAAATAAATAAGTAAGAAGCATACAACACTCACACATACACATTTAAACATACGACAGAGAATATATTAATAAATAATTTAATTAGTCGACTCTCACGTTAATTACCGCAAATTTATCCGAAATATTTCCGGAACCCTAAATCCAGTGAGCAGCATTAAACAACAAAACAAAAAAAAAAAAAAAAAAATAAAGAAAACATGTTAGAATTTGAGAAATTTATCCTCCTCTTCAATCGATTACTAGAGTTATTATTATTGGTTAAAAACGACATATCCAAATCAATAATATTCGATTAATTCCATTTTATTAGTACGCAAAATAAAACTTGGGGTGGAAAAGGAAAGGAGGGCGAAGAGAAGGGAGGGGAAGGGAGGTATAATAAGCTAGATTAATTTCTTGTTAAAACAAGAAAAGCTAAATAATTACGATCGATTTAAAATCGAATTAAAAAAAAAAAAAGAAAAGAATCATTAAGAATGATTCCATCAAATGATACGAAAATTAATATATTTTTAACGTGCATTTATATTATATGTAAGAAGTTAACAGAGTTACATCGAGATAAAACCTCTAAAATCTTGGAATACAAATATAGTTAGTAAATCAAAGCTT